TAGCCGCTCAGCACGGGCGCCGGAACCACCCTCCTCGCCCGGCCTCCCCGCGACGCACCCCAGGATCCGCCATGCGGGTTGAGGGCAAGAAGCAAGGGCGCACGCCCAGCTCGCTCGCCGAGCCTCTCAGTCCGGAAGTGACTGCTCCGCGAAGGCGCCTCGCTCCCTAAGCTTGATGGGATTGGAAGCCGCGTGTGAGGTCATCACTAGGCGCCGACCGGGAACGGGAAGCCCAGGTATGAGGCTGTTGCCAGTGGGTTCGATCTACTCTCTAGTGTTTTTTTCTCTTTTTCGACTAATGGCCTTGAGCCGGCTCTCGTTGGCCTCTCTTCCTACGACGGAGTTCCCTGTTTCATTTGCTTCCTGCTCAATCTCCAATTTGTGCTTGACACTTCCCTTTTTTGCTCGCCAGTTAGTTCGTGCACTTCTATTGGACCCATTTTCTTCGCCTTTGGGCAGTTGAGAACCTCTTGTCTTGGACAGGTTAGATAACATTTTACTTATTTACTTTATTTTTTTTTTTGGTGTTTCGATACAAGGTTTCTATGTGTAGCTTTGACTGTTTTGAACGAGCTCTGTAGACCATCCTGGCCTTTAACTCAGAGATCTGCCTGCCTCTGCCTCCCGAGTGCTAGGATTAGGATTAAGGGCGTGCGACACCACAGCCCGACTCCAGTCTTTTGGGGGACAGGACCGTAGAGACTCCCCAGAACATCTGTACCAGTACTCCATTCTAAAAGTAAGGTGACAAAATTTGCTTCGTAAATACGCAGCGAAAAACAAGCTTAGGTAATCCCTAAGTGTCATTTAAATAGTAAATGTCACAATCTTTTTGGACAAAATATAGTGCGCTCAGATCCATCTCTTAGTAAAAAGATTCAGGAAATGTGTTTTGTGTTCTGTTTTAATTTGTTAAACAGTCCCAAGAGGGAGAATAAAGGGGAGGCATAATGATGGTTTTCAGGGAGGAAAAGAAATCCTGCATTATCTAGTTATACTACGTTTCCAAAATTTAAAGAGGACTTAGAAAAAGAATAATAGAGGGTTGAGTGATGGCTAAACAGTCAAGAGCACTTGTTGCCCTTGGAGAGGACCAGGGTTCATTCCCAGAACCCAGGTGGAGGCTCAGGACCACCTGTAACTGCAGTTTGAGGTGAGCCAAGCCCTCTTCTGACTTCGTACATGCCTGGAATATACATGCCATGCACAGAAAGTAAAATAAAAGAACTATAGGGTGAGCATGCATTGTAAGAGGGCGTTTAATCTGGCTTTATAATTCTCAAGACAGCTCTATTAAGTGACTATTATAATAATAGGGCTCACAGGCTCAGTAGTCAACTTCAGTGTCATGCAATCCTTATGTAGTAAGAAGTCTTGTCTGAGGTCCACCTATGTGTAATTCACTTCCTGTTTTTTAGTAAAAAATAAATGGGCAGCAACTACTTCCCTACTCTGGTATAATTACATGCTTATTACTTGCCAATCCCTTCCTCAGAATGTCTTTCACCTAATTAAGTAGCCCAAATTCTTGTCTATTTTGTCAGTGCCAATGCCACAGTCTCCTAGTTTTAGTTTTTTCCAGTCTGTCCACACCAGGACTAGCTTTAGGAAACCCAAATCTTTGAGAAAGTGTTGACCGTCATAGTAATGACCATCTCTCCATAGTTCCTGCATGGTGAGCCAGATTTTGTCTGAATGGCAGTTACATTTCCTTTAACTGGTAGATCTGAAAAGAAGGGAAAGAGCTACACAGAATGATGAGATAGAAAGGCATGGACAAGGCACTGTGGTACAAAGAGTCTATAGCTCTGGCTATAGATTGGGAACCTCAGGTGAGAGACCACACGACCCAGGAATTTGGGACCAAACTGGGTAAAACAGAATCAGTCAGTTTCTGTTTCTTCCTCTCTCTGAGGCTTATACACTTAAATAACAGAAATCCATAAATAAAGGTGTGACTGAAGAAAAGCATTAATAGTAGAGATCATTCATTTATCACATATTGTTATCTTGTCTCCCTTAAGGTAAGTCTTGGAAGGATCTAATGATATCATTCTGTTCTCCATCCCTCAACCCCCAGACAGACTTTGTGTAGCCCTCGCTGTGCTGGAACTCACTCTGTAGACCATGTTAGCCTCTAACTCAGAGATGTACCTGTATCTGCCTCCCGAGTGCTGGGATTAAAGGTATGTGCCACCTTTGCCTGACTGTTGTCCTTTACCCGTTATTCAGGTGACTTAGTGGCATATTATCTCCCAACTAACATCAGGGTACTCTCAAAGCAGAAAAAGGTTGCCTTTCTCACTCGCTCTCTTGTTTTCTTGTTACCAGTCTTTTCACCTACTGTTTATGAACCACACCTTGTTCCCTTCCCCATGGCATTATGCATTCAACCTGCTCAGAGCTGCCCCTGTGGCATCCCACCCTTTAATAAAATGCTCTTGGCATACCTCACTTTGTTCTTATGCACTCCATGATCTCATCGGGAGTTAGAGGAAGTGACCTATTATCTAATTAAAGTAATCTATAATTGGCTATGAGTAAATTCTGTGCTTTACTGTTTTAAGCAACTGCATAGGACAAGGCCAATGTACTGATGTGGTAAGTGAGTGAGAGAATATTGACCTTAACCTATTGCTACTAGTTGTCCAGTCCAAGTGTAGAAAACCAGGAACAGTGGATTGCAGACAACTCATGTCTAGATTGTTTTGACTTAACTTTTAAGAACATTTTTTCCATAGCCATTTTGCCACAGCATTCTGAGTGTTTGACCCTTTTTTCCCCTCACAGATCTCAATATGTATTCCAGGGCGGCCCAGAACTCAAAATCTTCCAGCCTCAGCCAGATTACAGGTGTTGTGCCACAGTTCTGGCTTGTTTAACCCTTTTGATAATGGTCTTTGGATATGTTTTACAGACCAAGTAAACAAATGATTTTGGAGGGCTGGAGAGATGACTCAGAGGTTAAGAGCACTGACTGCTCTTCCAGGAGTTCTGAGTTTAATTCCCAGCAACCACATGATGGCTCACAACCATCTGTAGCGAGATTGGATGCCCTCTTCTTATGTGGAGGTGTACATGCTGATAGAGCACTTGTATACATAAAATAAATAAATCTTAAAAAAACAATCAAACAAAAAACCGAATGATTTTGAAGGCTCTAGTTGGATCACTGACAAATACGCATGATAATTATTGACTGGCTAGAGTAAAAAGGCTCACTGGGTATTATTCTAACAATTTTTTTTATTTATTTAATATGTATGAGTATGTATTCATGTGTACCGTGTGCATTTCTGGTACTCTCAGAGGTTCAAAGAAAGCACTGAATCCCCTGGGATTAGAGTTACTCTGGTTGTGAGTGGGGTGTTGGTATCCAAAGCCAGTCCTCTGCAAAAGCAACAAATTCTCGGGTTCTCTTAACCACTGGACCACCTCTGTGGCCCCAGATAAATATATACATTTTTGAGGTTTTTCTAACTTTTTTAAGATTTATTTATTATTTATTATGTGTATAGTATTCTGCCTATATGTCTGCTGCAAGCCAGAAAAGGGCACCAGATCTCATTATGGATGGTTGTGAACCACCATGTGGTTGCTAGAAATTGAACTCAGAACCTCTGGAAGATCAGCCAGTGCTCTTAACTGCTGAGCCATCGCTCCAGCCCTGGCTTTCCTAACTTTTTAAACAATCCCATTAATAGTTCTTTATTATTTTTCTGATTATATAAGTGATCAGTGAATACCCATGCAATTTAGAGTCTGGAAATTTAGTGTCCTTGTGTGCCCTCCCCAACCCCCAAGTGCTTAGAGTTGTACTGTTCTTGGGTCTTTAATTAAGGATTAGTTTCATTATGGAGAAAATGATCAGAACTATATTGTTGTCCGTAATAGCCCTTTTAAACATAAAATCTATTCATTGACTAACTTCTGATGCTTTGGGGTAGAAATTAGCGAAAAAGTACCTTTAAAATTGAGTTAATTGGAACTGGAGAGATGACTCAGCAGTTAAGAGCACTGACTGTACTTCCAGATTACCCAGGTTCAGTTCCCAGCATCCATATGGCAGCTCACAACTGTCTGTAACTCAAGTTTGAGGGAATCTGACGCCCTCACACCAGTGCACATAAAATTAAATAAATTATTTTGAAAAATAAATAATATTGAGTTAATGTCTTCCAAAAAATAAAAACGAACAAGAAAGGATAAAATTAGTAAGATTAGGAAACCTGCAAAAGCTTACACCTGCTAGTCAGCATGTATTTGGGTCTCCTGTAGATAGCTTAAGAAATGGCTTATGTTTACCCAGAGTTTTGCAGGTCTGGTCTTCAAATGTCTTTTGAGAGGAGAGGACAAGGGGATAAGTGAGCTTTTAAACTTTCTTTAAAAACTGTTGAAGTGTTTGTTGTATTTGTCTCATCGCTTCAGGTTCTTGTATAAAATCTGATACAGGTTTTCTCCCTCTTCAGAGTTCTGCATCATGGCAGTCAAGTGGACCAGTGGACACTCATCTTCTGTCCTCTGCCTAAATGCAAGTAAAGATGGGCTGGTGGCTTCAGGAGCAGAGGGTGGAGAGCTTGTGGCTTGGGGTGAAGATGGGACTCCATTAGGACACGTACAGTTGGAAGGGGCTGATGATGTTACCAGCATCCTGTTTTCTCCCTCCTGCCCCACCAAGCTCTATGCCTCCCATGGAGAAAGCATCAGTGTACTAGATGTCAGGTCTCTTAAAGGGACCCTGGACCATTTTCATGTGAATGATGAAGAAATCAATTGTCTTTCACTAAATGAAACGGAAAGTTTGCTGGCTTCTGCTGATGACTCTGGAGCAATCAAAATCCTGGACTTGGAAAAGAAGAAAGTCACCAGGTCCCTGAAGAGACATTCTAACATCTGTTCCTCTGTGGCTTTCCGACCTCAGCGGCCTCAGAGCCTGGTGTCATGCGGCCTGGATATGCAGGTGATGTTTTTGCAAAGAGCATTTGGGTAATTTCTGAGCGGGATTTGCTAACAAAATCAAGTATGTATTTGCTTGGTTTCCTTGGCAGTTCTGGGAATTGAACTGAGGGCTATACATGATTAACGTGTACTCTTCCACTGAGCTGTATCCCCAGCCCCTAGGATCAAATTGTTGAACAAGCATTTTCTATTCTATCCTAACATTTCTTACCCATTTATGAACTATAGCCTTAGTTCTACCATGAGTGCTATCCTGACAGAGCCTACTCTATTTTATTCATTAATGCTTTGTCTTCCTTTGTCCATCGTTAGACATTCTAAGACCTTAGGATTCAAATACCTGATTGTAAAAATTGCTTTAAACAAAGAAGGAGTAGTGTTAAGTCAGCAAAACAGACAAAAAAGGGGGATACTGAATGTAGAGTTGATCCACACATGCTCTAGAAACTCTTTTTTGTCAATGTTTTTCAAGACAGTTTCTCTGTGTAACACCCCTGGCTGTCCCGGAACTCTCTGTAGACCAGGCTGGTCTCGAACTCACAGAGACCCACCTGCCTTGGCCTCCTGAGTGCTGGGATTAAAGGTGTGTGCTACCACGCCCAGCTTCTAGAAACTCTTAAATGGTTTGAGTGTGTGTGAGGATAAGAGATGGGGCAGAAAAACTTGAAAACACGTTACTTGAAATGTGTATAAGTGACCAGAAGCAGAGCACTGTGTGCAGTGCTGGACTTCGGAAGCAACATCACAAATTAGCCAGAGTTCAGAGGAGACCGCTAGGAAAGAGATGGAAGTATGAAGCATGTTGTATAGGGAAAGCTGGTGGGGTTCAATTTTTTGTTCTCACAGGAGCAAATATGATTTGCTCTTGGATGAATATGAGAGTTTTTAGATAGCTTGGACTTTCCCAAAGCAACTGTCCTTCCTCCTGCAAGAGAAAGATCTCATCACTGGGGCTGAGTGCTTAGGACTTTTAAGTGCTTTGCACTTTGCAAATACTAGTCTTCATTCTAGTCACGCCCTCCTAATTCTTGTTCCTTCTCAGAATTTCATTTTATGTGTACAGATGTTTTGCCTGCATGTATGTATGTGCACTGCCTTTGGGCCTGGTATCTGTGCAGGTCAGAATTGAGCATTGGGTACTCTGGAGCTACAGTTACAGACAGTTGTGAGCTGTCACATGGATGCTGAAATTTAAACGAGAGTCCTCTTGAAGAGCAGTTTGCTTAACTGCTAAGCCTTATCTCTAGCTACCTGTTGTTCCTTTTTAAAATTATTAGATGAACCACCTGCCTAGAAGCAGCCTTAATTCTCTGCCCTCCAAATTCAATGCTTTTTCTCTATTATAAGAGTTACTTAAAGTATCATTTATGCTTGAAGTAGTGATGTACACCTTTAATCTCAGCTCCTCCCCTGGGAGACAGAAGCAGGCAGATCTCTGTGAATTGGAGGCCAGATAGAGCTACATCATAGCAAGTTTCAGGACAGCCAGAGCTATGTAATAGAGAAACCCTGTCTCAGAAACAACAACAGCAGCAGCAGCAGTTTTGCCAGGTGGTGATGGTGCACATCTTTAATCCCAGCACTCTCGGGAGACAGAGGCTGGTGGGTCTCGGAGTTTGAAGCCAGCCTAGTCTACAGAGCAAGTTTTAGGACAGTCAAGACTACACAGAAAAATCCTGTCTTAAAAAAACCGAAGGAGGGAGAAGTCAGTATCTGTCATAGCGTTGGAGGGCCTGGCAGTGGAATTAGTAGATGTCCTATGTGTGGGGCCACATCCCAAATAGTAAAGAAACCCTGGAAAATATTTGCAGTGCCTCTGTAGAAATTCTATACAGAATCATTCGATATAGAATTATTCTGGGTGTTTTTGTTTTTCAAGACAGGGTTTCTTTGTGCTGCCCTAGATGTCCTGGAACTAGCTTTGTAGACCAGGCTGGCCTCCAACTTAAGAGATCCGCTTGCTTCGCCTCCAACTACTGGGGTTAAAGGTGTGTGTCACCACCAGGATCCATCTGTATTTATAGGACACAGTTTCCCTACAACCTACATCTAGATCTTGACCAAACCCTTCCTAAATCTGCATTCTCTACCCTCAGGTTGGATCTTCCGATTTTTAAGAAGCATCTGTGTAGCCAGGTGACTTGGTTATAAATATTCAGATGTAGTGTGTTTGACTAATCTTTCATCCTTCGGCTATACCAAATTTCCTCACTGACTCACTAGTCATCAGGTGTGGCAGTGAGATATGCAGAAGTGACCTGTAATAGATTGGAAGTAGGCTGAAGAGAGGCTCACTGATAAGAGTTCACTCTACTCTTGCAGAGGACCTGAGTTGGCTTCCCGGCACCCATGTTAGATGGCTTACAACTGCCTGTAACTTCAGCTGCAGAGGATCTAATGGCCTCTTCTGGACACTTGAGGCACTAATATTCACACACACTCACACATGCATACACAGAATAGTAAAATAAATATTTCTGGGGTGGACATGGTTGTACATGCCTTCTCAGCATTTGGAGGCAGAGGCAGACAGATCTCTACGAGTTCAAGATCAGCTTGGTCTATGTAAGTGAGACCTTGCCTCCGAAACAACAACAGAAACCCAACTTTTTTTAAAAAATGGACATCAAGAATTTGGCATTTTGTCTCCAATTCTATGTGAGACATTTTAGGGGCTTGAGAACATTCTTAAATATGCTATAAAAGGCAGGGCTAGATAATTGCTGTTTTGATTTACCTGGTAAAGTTTCTTTGTATAGTAGAGGACGACCTTGAATCCCTACCTTTACCTTCCAAATGCTTGGTTTGCTGGCTTGTACAACAATACGTATCCCAAAATAAGATTTTTCACTCAATTAAAAAAAAGTCTGAGCTAGACATGGTGATACATGCTTGTGATCCTGGCACTGGGCAAACAGGCAAAAGGGTCATCGTGAGGTCACAGCCAGCTGTTCTACATAGTAACGCCTACTTTGAAACAAACCAAGAATTTGGCAAATCAAATAGGAAATATACAAAAAGGGGGTTTTGTTGTTTTTTTTTAAGATTTATTTATTTATTGTGTACAGTGTTCACCCTCCATGTATGCCTGCAGGCCAGAAGAGGTCACCAGATCTCATTACAGATGGTTATAAGCCACCATGTGGGTGCTGGGAATTGAACTCAGGACCTCTGGAAGAACAATCAGTACTCTTAACCACTGAGCCATCTCTCCAGCCCTGTTATTTTGTTTTTTGAGACAAGGTCTCACTGGATGCATTGGCTGGTCTATAACTGGCTCTGTAGACGAGGCTGCCTTGGACTCATAGAAACCCACCTACCTCTGCCTCCTGAGTACTAGGGTTAAAGGCATGTGCCACCATGCTGACTGGCTTGTTTGTTTTCCTCTTTCTTTTTTTTCTTCCTTCTTTCCTTTTTTTCTTCCTTTTTTTCTTTAAATTTGGTGAGTGATGCTGGGGCTTGTGTCCAGGGTTTTGCAGGTGGCAAATAAATGCTTCTGCCACTAAGCTATATCCTCAGCCCAACAAGTATACTTTCATGGAGTCTTTCCAGTAACAGATTTTAGTATCTGGCTTTGTAAATCCTACCTCTGCCTCTGTATTCTCATTTCAGTCTAGTGTCAAGTAGCATTACCCCGGTATGTTTGTAGCAGCTTCTGATCATTTAAAATGGTACAGGAACTTCGTGATATTTTATTAGGAGCTCAGTAAGCACTGTAGTTGACCAACATGGCTAGATCACTGTGTGACTGTGTAACTTTCCCTTGTTTAAAGGTGATGCTGTGGAGTCTTCAAAAAGCCCGACCCGTCTGGATTACAAATTTACAGGAGGATGAAACAGAGGAAACAGAAGGCCCCCAGTCCCCTGGTCGGCTCCTAAACCCCGCTTTAGCCCACTCTGTCTCTGTGGCATCGTGTGGCAATGTTTTCAGCTGTGGTGCAGAGGATGGTAAGGTGCGCATCTTCAGGGTGATGGGAGTCAAGTGTGAGCAAGAATTGGGATTTAAGGGTCATACTTTGGGGGTATCCCAAGTCTGCTTTCTGCCTGCGTCCCATCTGCTGCTTACTGGAGGGAACGATGGAAAGATACGGTTGTGGGATGTGGGCAGTGAAATGGAGAAGAAGCAAAAGAGTCCTGCAAAACACACCCACAGGAAGAAAGCAAAAAGAGCGGCTTGCCCCAAGCAGGGTGGGAACTCCAGTGCCACGGGAGCAGATGAGGAGAAGCATGCAAAGATTCTGCCAAAGCTCGACATTGAACATGGAGAAAAAGTGAACTGGCTCTTGAGTACAAAAATAAAAGGACAGCAAAGTATATTAGTGGCCGATCAGACGAGTTGTATATCCATGTATCCCTTAAGTGAACTTTAGGGCCAATAAAAAACTCTGTAAGAACTCTGATAAAGCCTTTTTGGTTTTTTTGTTTGTTACCTTCTTACTTATTAAGACATCCTCACATTTGTAGCCCAGGCTAGTCTGGAACTCACTACATAGCACAGGCTGGACTCAAACTTGTAGCAATCCTCTTGTCTCAGCCTCTAAATTCTGAGATTACAAGCATGAACCACCTTTCTGCTCTGCTGATAACCTTATTTTTTAGGTTAAAAAAAAATCTTGCTTTAAACTATTTGTCATATGTAGAATCATATTAGTTTGAACAAAAGAAGATCATTGAATAATATTTCATATAGTAAGTGGCATTAGCGTTTGGGTAAAGAGATTGAGTATTAACTATTTACCAACTGTTCACTGACTTAATTGTGCCAGATATTTTACACAAAATTTCATTTTTCCCCATATAAAGTTTGGGGCTTTTACTGTGTTCTTGTCTTGCTTTGATTTATATTCTGATATGCAGGCACACATGTAGACAGAACACTGTATACATAATAAACAAATACATCTTTAAAAAAAAATCTTAGAAGTAATCAAATATCCAGGTAGATGGTGCATGCTTGTAATCCCAGCATTCAGGAATTTGAGCCAGTGACTGCTTTGAACTACTTAGTGAGACCCTGTCACAGAAAGAGAAGTTAAAAAGGAGAGGAGGAAAGGAAGGAGAGATGGAGACAGATAGGAGAGGGAAGGAAAAGAAGGGTTTCTGGTTTGTTCTTTTGAGGCAGGGTCTTTCTGGATGTCTTTTTGCTCACAGAGATCCTCCTGCCTCTGCCCTTCCCCAACCCTCATGTTGGGATTGAAGGGGTTCTCCTCCACACCCAGCCAGAGATATTTTTCTAATGTTTAATAAAATGTAGACTGTTGATGAAGATCCAGTTATTAACAGGCCAATTGCCTGAATGAGGCAGGCCTAGGATTTTTTTAGCAGTCATACATTCAAAAACTACTTTGGTTGTTTGGTAGACATAAGGCACAGACCCCAGAATTAATCATCACTTTACAAAAGAGTAAGTACTCTCCCACTTTGAAAGTCCATCATCTATCTAGTCTTCACTCAGCAGGAGCAATAGAAGTAGCAAGAAATAATGAGAAAGGGGGTTTTTTGTTTGTTTTTGAGACAGGGTTTCTCTGTGTTATAGTCCTGGCTGTCCTGGAACTCACTTTGTAGACCAGGCTGGCCTCAAACTCACTGAGCTCTACCTGCCTCTGCCTCCCAAGTGCTAGGATTAAAGGCATACACCACCACCACGCATAATGAGAAAACTTTTATCTTTCATGCCAAAGTATCTTTCATTTGAAAAAAAATGTAAAATGTTTCGTTTTAATAGCAGATAGAGGCTAAGCAATATTGGTGCATATAAAAGGAGACTGCGCGTTGGTTTCCTGGTCTTCCAGACCCGAATAATCACACAAAAACTATAGTAGTTACAACTAATGGCAAATCAATCCCACACCAGTTAGGTTTTAAAGGGGTATTTATTTTGGGGGGGTAGAACTTACATACACACAAACCGTCAGGAAAGGAGCCTAGTCGCTGAAGCAGGAGCCAGAACCAAGAGAGGCCGAGCCGAGACTTGCAGCTCTTTTTAAGAGAGAAATATACCACGCCCCAGTGGGCTGGTATTTCAGCGACTATTGGCTGAAGGAGCGGAAGGCGCTCCCGCAGCATCTCCCCCTTTTGTTTAAGTAAGAGAGTTCTAAGCCTACTACAAAATTATATACAGTAAGTACAAACCTACAAAATTATATACAATAAGTACAAATATCCTATTCTAACTAGCTTAAGTCTTGTATAATAAATAACTTGGTCAAGTCATGAGAGGAAAGTAGCTACATTTATCTAGTCTTCAACCCCATAGAAGATCCGAGAAGGGAAATAATGTTACCTGAGTAACTAGGAAGTGCAATCAAAGAACTTCCAAAACATGCAACAAATCACAGAGACAACTGGCTACCTGGGCAATTACCAAAGACCTGTTTGCAGCTTTGGAGCAACCAACTTTGACTAAGGCCTAGAATAACTGACAGATTATTTTTAACAGGCAAGAGATTTTTCAAAACCATCTTACCCTGTCTTGGCAAGATTTAACAGTTCTGTCTATCCATTTCCGGATTTTATCCATTTCCAGATTTTAACAGGCAAGAGATTTTTCAAAACCGTCATACCCTGTCTTGGTAAGATTGGACAGTTCTACTTATCCATTTCTGGATACCATGTATTTGTCAGTAGTTGAGGTATGGGCAGTTCCTTTCCTAGAGGCCGGTTTTGTCAAGAAGACAAGCTCCAAGTGGAGTGTCTTTGGTGCTCAACAATCTCTCAGGAATAGGTCGGTGTTGCCAGGAGTGATCGTGTCTCACTACACAGAACTCTAAGATTAAATTAAATGCCATTTTCTACAGCTCTTCGAAGAGGTTGAAGACTATTTATACAGAATATAATCTCTATGTATCTAAAGAACCTGATTAGTCTAACCATAAATATGACAGACATAGATGACTATTGATCTACAATTCTTAAAACATATCTAACATAAAGACTAAGAGAATAAACAACTGTGCAATAAGTGAGGACAATGACTTCCAAGTGTAAACAATAAATATCAATACATAAACAATATGTAAGTATCTTAATCAGAGGTAGAAATGTACACTGCAATATGGTATACATACATCAATACAATATATATCAATACATAAAAAATGTTTTAAACAGGTAGAAACATGCATACATACAATATTCAATATAATTTAACTTTGTATCCATATAAAAAAATCTATGCCGATGTAATTATCTATAAACAATAACTCACAAATACCATTATTATCTATCCAATTATCTCCCTTTTTTTTTCAAAAAGATCCCTGAGCTTATAAAATTTCTTTCCTAACTCTCAACTGTAAACTAATTATAATCAATCCCTAAATATTGTTCCTAAACCTGAGGACAAACTTTGCTGAGAGAGGGGATATTGTCCTCTAGAATTACTTCCAGCTGTCATGGGGGTGAGGTTCTTTCTGGAGGATCCTGTAAAAGTAAAATGATGGTTAAATTTCAAGATCAATGTCTTTTAAAATTGCCAACGGTCTCTGAGTATTTTGTGGAGATCTGGCCAGAATGTTGTACAAGATGTGCACCATTTCAGCTAACCAAGTTGGAATCATCTGTGCAGCTGATACCCGAAACAGGACTTGTAGCACTATCAGTACCATGACATCATATCAATCGAGTGGAGTTGTTGTTATGGGGGGGGGTCCCATCTTCTTCCTGGAAACTTCAAATGTCAGTGCAGGAAAAACTCATTGTTCATTGTGGAAAAATTAAACATTAATTATATAGACATATACAAACATATTCAATGAAAGGTATGATAGACATATTCAATGAAAAGTATGATAGATATGAAGAAAAGCAAAGATGTTTTCTAAACTCGTATTTCTTTCTGTCTCATATCGTGGCTCTTGACATAAGACAGAAACTCCAGAAACTCTGGGTTTTTCTCTTAACAACAGGCTTGGAATTAGAGAGGGACTGAGCCAAAAGTCCAACTCCAAAACGAGCTCTATAAATTCAGAAATATGATTTAGTATATTCTAGAGCTTCGTACTCACAGAACCTATTCAGTTTTCTTGTTAATCCATATTGGGTAGTTATTTTTCCATCTGTCAGTATTCAAACATCCAGGGTCCTTTGAATTTTTCAAAGACAAGTGTTTTCCTGTGGAGACAAGAACAGAACCCTGCCCCCATTCTATGTTTTTCTTACCACCTGTATGGTTATCATCATTGTAGATGCTGTCATTTCTCCTTTCCAAGAGGTTTCTTCTCTTCAAATCTAACCTTTATTAATTTTGATGGTATCCACAATTTTTCTTCTCCTGTGGAAACAAGAGCAAAACCCCTTCCCCAACGTAGCACATCTCCTGGCTTCCATTGAGAGGTCAGCACATCCTTGATATAAACCGGTTGATTTAGTTCAGCAGACTTTTCCATTATCCAATGTCTTTCTGCCACTGTTGTTCCCTTGTCATTAGCATTAAGAAAATTCAAGGTTAATAAGGCATTATGTAATCTATTTCTGGGGGCATTTTCCACCCCTTTCTGTTTATTTAACATATCCTTTATAGTTCGATTTGATCTTTCTATGACTGCTTGACCTGTAGGATTGTATGGTATACCTGTAACATGCTTAATATTATAATAAGCCAAAAAAAAAGTTTCATTTTCCTAGAGACATAAGCTGGACCATTATCTGTTTTTATTTGTGCAGGTATACCCATAATGGCCATAACTTCTAATAAATGTGTGATTACTGAGTCAGCCTTTTCTGAGTTTAAAGCAGTTGCCCACTGAAAGCCTGAATAAGTGTCAATGGTGTGATGTACATATTTTAATTTGCCAAATTCTGGAAAGTGGAACACATCCATCTGCCAAATTTCATTCCTTTTAATACCCTTTGGATTAGTCCCTGCAGGCAATGGTGTTTGGTTATAAAAAGAGCAAGTAGACCATTTCTTTACAATCTCCTTAGCTTGTTGCCATGTAATAGAAAACTCTTTTTTCAAGCCTTTGCTATTGACATGATATTTTTTATGAAATTCAGATGTCTGCAGCACACTACCAATCAATAATTGGTCAATATCTGCATTACCTTGTGCTAGAGGACCTGGCAGACCTGTATGGGATCGGATGTGTGTTATATACATAGGGCAAAGCCTGTTCCTGATCATGTCTTGTACCTGGATAAACAATGAGGTCAGTTCTGTATCATCAGGTATAAATTCAGCAGTTTCAATATGCAAGATAACTCTTTCTGCATATTGTGAGCCAGTAATTATATTAAGAGGTTCTTTAAAATCCCTAAGCACCATAAAAGTGGCATATAATTCTGCCTTCTGGACACAATCATAAGGACTTTGTTCCACTTTACTCAATTCTTCTGATTTGTAACCTGCTTTCCCTGAATTATTAGCATCAGTATAAAATGTACGGGCTCCGGTTATTGG